ACTTCTCGTTTCCATCTTTTTTTTTTTCAGTCCCACTCTCTGACACCAATTTGTTAAGTATCTGCTCGTTTGTTAATTTCCGGTATAAATTATTTCCGAGGAACTTCGACGATACAAGTCCTTTCTTAATTAAAACTAGTTTATTATTTCTCGATACTATTTTGTAATACACAGAATTTCCATAGTCACTTTAAACTTAACAACCTTTATAACACACTCTATAAATGAGAGTAATTCACACACTTTACTTATGGTGCCTAATGCTCGCTTGACTCAATTATCTATCGATATCTATCTCTTCAATCTATCTGCCGATCGCACTGGTTTTCTCGCCAGGCTTATATATTAAAAAGAGGGCGACTCGAATGCACTCGGGCCTTCATAATTCTTCTAGAAACTCCAGCGCCATGCTCCCAGCGTCGCGTGACTTCCGCTGTCGTAACAATATAATAATCAGGCCTTTGTTGTAAGCTGTACGATCTGACGAAGAGCGCTAGCTCGAAACGTCATCCTTCTTCAAATAAAAATATGAAAAAAATGGGCAATTTTTCAACCTATTATTTAATTTCAATAATCAGGAAACTTTGTTTAATATCAACATACAATGATACTTTATTTATAAATATGAGTAAGTAGTTAATGGGTATTCGGTGAGTTTATGAGTTAAGTATCAGAAATGTTGTTCATAATTCAGTTCTAAAAGTAAAATTTATCTCGTTTATTCAGTTCTTCGAACGATTAGCAAAGAAATTCTGTTAGTCAGTTTATTTGTGAGTTAGGTGTACTTACCATTAGCCTCGGAATTTCTGTCTTGAAACGATATTTGTGCACCTAGACCTCTAGCTACAAGTGAAAGTAGCCTGTAGGCGAGATTAAGGAAGAAAAAATTCATTTGGTTGGATTTCCCTTTTTTTATTACCACATAATTCAAAAGAACCTGTTCAACGGAAGAACGCGTTAAAACAATATTGATACTATAATAAAAATAAGTGCAATGAAAAGAAGCAAGTCACTGAGCATTCTATGAGTCGTGTCTATAGACAACTAATTCAATGCAAAGGCTACTTCTAGTCCTTAAAAACATGATCAGTTCAAAGAGACGGTAGTAATAAATACAGTTAAACCAAAAACCAGCCGAAATGTAAAAGCAGTAATGAATGACATAGGATATAACTCAAAACGTCATCTTGACACCTTGTTTGTTTGTTTGTTTTTTAATTATGCACAAAGCTACACAAGGGCTATCTGTGCTCTGCCCACCACGGGTATCGAAACCCGGTTTCTAGCGTTGTAAGTCCGCAGACATGCCGCTGTGCTACTGGGTGTCATCTTGACACCTAAAAAACATCAAAAGCCAATAAAACACAACTTACAGTGTTTAACCTTCCCTACTATTGTAACTTTTCCTTCGAGCAGTCTTTTGAAATGGGGACAACCTTTATTTTTCCTGTATAAATAATCTGCACTTTAAAGATAAGATTGAATCCAGAATTTTCTTTTTAATTATGAACTACTTATCAACCAATAATATTGTGCAAAAGCCAACTAATATCATATCACTTTTCCTTGAGGCATTAACCTTTGATTTCTTACGTTTCCAGCAACAAAAAAAAAATATTTATTTATTTTCTTTAGTTTATAATATCGTTTAGTTTTTGTTGGTTTCTGGAAGAAAAAAATACTGTAAGAACTTATGCTGCCATCTGTGTCTAGGATTTCCCGGGTTTTTATCAAATGTTAAAGACGCATGTGATTTAATCTCGCATGAGGTTGTTTAGCACTGTGACGGTAAAGTTTGCAGTTGAAAGATGGCATGCACTGGTGAACTGGGTATGTTGTGACTTATGTTAACCATCTATAATCGTAGTAATTTTAAGTCGTTTGCAACTGTACTTTTACTAAGTTTTAATGCGTAAAGAACAATACTTCACAACTTTAAACTTACCGAATATTGAAATTAAAATTGACTCGAACTTGTCTCTACTTTTAAAAAAACAACATAAAAATATAACCTTATTCCCGAATTTTGTTTGGCCTTTCGAGCTAGATAGTCTCTGACAAACTCTTGCAGAATTGTAAGAATAGTATTATTTATAAATAAGATTAAGCATACAAATCTTGTTACTGCTTTGAAAAATTGGGTTTGTGTTTGGTCATACATATTTATTATATACACACACACATGCTATTTCATTGTTTTTAAAATTTTGTTGCAGTTTGTGCGTATATTTTTCTTTTAAAAATTCTCATTCTGTCTACACTACGGCCCATGATCAAAGTATGACAGTTACGTTTTGTTCACCACGTGTCTCACAGGAATGCTACACTGCCTACTAATAGTAATAGTGGACTGGAAATGTAATTTGATCTTTAACTTTGATGTTCATCATTCAGATAAATGAAGGTCAGCAACTGCAAATGAGAAACTTGCTAGAAATTAAACCTATTACTTAACCGTCTCAAGTTCAGGAATAATTGCGTTATAATAATATTAATAGTGATAGAACCACTTTAGTTTTATGTAATAATCAACATTTGTAACACTGTAGAGTCATGAAATGGTTTATGAAGCAATATTCAACATAATTTGGTGATGGAAGTTTTATGCATTTTTTTTCTATACCCTGTGTAGTATTTTCTGGCACGTGGATTTTCTGTAGAGCAGTAATTTAGGACCCCCCTAGCTGGAAGTTAGGGGAATATCACATTATAGCGTGTTTGTGTGTGTCTGAACTGTGATTGTTCATGAAAAGATAAGAAGTAATAAACAAAAAGTATAAAAAAGAAAAGTTAAACAAAATAAAAACAACCCTGTAACTTTAAAAAAGAATTAAGGACCCATGAGTGAAAGCAAAGAAGAATGTTGTAATATGGCAACCACATTACATCTACCATATCCAGTGAATGTTAAAAAGTTAAACTTAAGCACAATCTTAAGTCTATCAAGAATATAAATCTGAAATTATCAAGCCTTAGAAGAATCTCCCAAGTCTGCTTTAAAAAGGAGAAAATGGTTCTATGTACAAAACAATTCCCCAAAAGCCAGTTTGTGTACAGAACACTAATTGTACACTGATATAAGTGCAAGGGAAAAAAGCCTCTATCCTGGGATGTCACAAGCTATATTTGATGCAAGAGAATGAGGTTAATAGCTTAATATGGAACCAGGTTCTGGGCACAGATAGAAGAATATCTAGATGTTTACTTTAGAGACTAGATTCAAATGAAATGCATTGAAAATACAAAACTTTTAAAAAATGTACATATTAATAATACCAGTCATCATCTTGTTTAAGGTAAAATTTCTAAAACGTGCTTCTAAATGTTTGATTTACTGTTCTTGTGAAATAACAAACATGTAATTTATCAAACTTGTGAGATTCAACTAATGCTAAGTCATTATCCACACAGCTATTTTGAGCGTTTATGATAAAACTGGGCTTGCAGAACTGAGCAAGAAACTCCATGACATTGGCCTTCAACTTGTGGCTTCTGGTGGAACTGCCAAAGCTATACGGGAATCTGGCCTTCCTGTTAAGTATGCATTTATTTTATTACCCAATTAATTTTTGCTACATGGTTTATTTTCTCTTATACTAATAACAGTGTCAGCAAGTAGCATATATGTAGTAAAGTAACTGTTTTTGTAATTTTATGTAATAATGTTATATTTCATTTGAATGAAACATACTGTTCTGGAACTCAGGTTAATTTATAATGCTATTGCTTCTATAATTAAGTTTTCTGCACAGTATATCAGACAAATATAATATATCACTTCAGTATTCCAAATTGAATCACTGCTGGTATAGAGAAGATCCCCTTGTGATTAGAGGGGGTTACATGTGGTAGAGAAGGTAACATATTGTGATTAGAGGGGGTTATGTGTGGTAGAGTAGAGGAGGTAACATCTTGTGACGAGAGGGGTGTTACATATAGTAGAGTAGAGAAGGTAAGATCTTGTGATTGGGGGGGATTATATGTGGTAGAGTAGAGCAGATAACATATGGCGGAGGGTGGAGTAATACAAGATAGTGTAGAGAAGATAATCAGCTAATAAGAATTAGTGTTCTCAATTATTACCCTTTTCAGTTATTTTGACTATCCAAGTAATCAAAATATTGCCATTATGATCTATTATTTTTGATTAATTCAGGTTTTTTCAGTTTAATTAATTGGTGTCATGACCTACAAAAATAATCAATTAGTCAAAGTTAGTGTTTCCAATAATTAATATCTTTGGTAATTTCCAACTATTCAAGTGTCATGAGAATAATCAAATATAACCAAATAATGAGCTGACAACTGATCAACAAATTCCCAACTCTAGTGGTGTAAAGAATATCTTTTAGAGTTCTACATTCCCATTGGTGGTTAAATACATTTTCTAGTTTTAAAACAGTTTGAAGGCTTGAGATACATTTGGAGTTACATTTTTATTTAGGCCTGAATTTCACATGTAAACAATTTTCTGAACCTATTTCTGCTTTTGGAAATGTGACAATGATCAATGAGGGTCAAGGGTATTTGTACTTTATGACCTTGAAATGTTAGTAAACACAATACAGATGTTTGTGGCCGCTGTAGTTATACACTTGACCTCTTAACAGGGCTGTGTTAATTAAAAACATGATAATGATGAACCTTGGAATGCATCATTAATGGATCATCTTTGTTTCAGGGATGTTTCTGAAATAACGGGAGCTCCTGAGATGCTAGGAGGTCGAGTGAAAACTCTTCATCCTGCTGTTCATGGTGGTATGAAAAATAGAAGAATTTGAATTGTCTTTTAGGATGTTAAGAGATGATGCAGTTGTTTATTAGTTAACTTTAAAACATTTCCTTTTAAGATAAGTTTGCCAAGAAAGTCAAGTTCTTTGTAAATTGTAAAAGTTTGGAATTTAATTATTGTGGTAAGTCTCAGAAGGAGGATACTTTTCCTTAATAATTTTGGCTTTTTATCTATAATTAAATGTTTATAGTTTCCATTACATTAGACTAGCTGTACTTGCCTACAGAATCTCATCAAATTACATTTTACTCTGATGCTTTCATTAATTAGTCCATGTTATTAATATTCATGGCTGAAATTCACCAGCTACATAGGAAAGATAAACTTGAACATTCTCAGTGTACTTTTTTGATTCATTTCTAGGATGATTTAATAAAGTTATGCACATTTAGAAAATATATCTCACTAGATTTACCCAGTGAAACAGAATCTGAACTTTTAAGCATTAAACTTTCTAGTGACATTTATCAGATATAGATATGCCTTGTAAGTAAATCCTCAATGAATGAAGATAATATTTATTCATGTATTGAGAGGAATGTTTGATACAGGTATTCTGGCCAGGAGAACAGATGATGATAAAGGTGACATGGACCGTCAGAACTATACATATGCTAGGTAAACAGCTTTGAAATCTTGTGCTCAGTTGATATGCGTGTAAAGTATTAACTGTAGTTTGAAAATTTTTCTAATTACAATATTGATTTTGTAGTTTTTGTAAAAATGTTATCAGTTCAGATGATTACTAGCAGAGAATTAGACAAGATTTTAATAAAAGTTCTTTTTCATATGGGAGTGTCTCACTGTGTACATAAAACTAATTTTTATTTTTTCAAGTGTTGTAGTGTGTAACCTTTACCCGTTCGTCAAGACCATCTCTCAACCAGATGTAACGGTTGCAGGAGCCATGGAACAAATTGATATTGGTAATGGTGTCGGTTATTTTTTTTAATCATTTGAACTATTTCTACATGTTTAATAAACTCGTGTAAGCCACCTAACACTCCTTAAGTGTTCTCAATAAGTTATCTTTACAAGAAAGAGTATTACATTTCCTGAGCTCCTCAAGCAAAATGTTGTTAAATACACTTGCTGTAAAATCAAGTTGAAGTTGATACCTTGCTAGCTGGGTGTTACATAGTTGTTTCATTTCAGGGGGTGTTACTCTGCTTCGAGCTGCTGCCAAGAACCATGAGCGAGTTACAGTCCTTTGTGACCCTGAAGATTACAAGCTGTAAGTGAAAGTAAAAGCTGTGTAGTATTGTAACAATGAAAATATAATAATGATTGGCTTTTTTCTTGTCTGTAGAGCTGAGAATGTATCGATAAGAAACCAAAGTGTGGTCGACGAGATGTATCGGGTAAATTGAGATATGCTGTATAACAAATATGTTTAACATGGTTTATTCTGAAGTGTATTGTTATTTATTTATGGTATACTATATAGTATCAGTTAGAATTGTAACAATTTATTCCAGAGTTTAATACTTTCTAATACACTTATTAGGTAGTCTGACCACTTTACTAAGTCTCGTTAATGGAATGTATAGATGGCTGTAATCTAATACAAGTCTCGTTAATGGAATGTATAGATGGCTGTAATCTAATACTAAGTCTCGTTAATGGAATGTATAGATGGCTGTAATCTAATACTAAGTCTCGTTAATGGAATGTACATCTGTACATTCCATTAACGAGACTTAGTATTAGATTACAGCCATCTTTACAGCCTCTAATACTAAGTCTCGTTAATGGAATGTATAGATGGCTGTAATCTAATACTAAGTCTCGTTAATGGAATGTATAGATGGCTGTAATCTAATACTAAGTCTCGTTAATGGAACGTATAGATGG